ACAGACACAGACAAGCGGGAACGCCTTGATATCTCCTGTAGGTGACGGAGAAGCAGCCAATCTCTGTGATCCATTCGATACACCACTGTCACGCTGCTCGCGGTGCCTGGCGTCGTACTCTTCTGCGGTTTCCGGCACGCGAATGCCAGTCGCCCATCCATCGTCCCAAATGCCGATCACCTTCAACATTTCTCCGCGTTCCAAGGCAAACTCATCCCCTGCCCGCGGCTGATAGGCCCAGAGGACGGCTACCTGATCACCGGGGCGTATATCATCTTGTGAGTAATAATCTTGGAACGAAGACAATTGCTCCGATTGCCCACTTGCGACGCCTTCGGGCGAAGAGTATTGGCCATTAGTTCCTGAGTGAGGCGAGGAGTCACTATATGCGCCAGCCAGGGCGGAGCTGCTGGAAAGAGATCCATGGCGTCTCCCAGTGACCGGAGGAATCCTCTTTGACATTGCTCCCGGACTTGCCCCGTAACCCTCCGAGTCGGACGTATCACTGTACTTGGCACTTCCAAAGAGAGCGGCAGAGTTACGAGAGCGCGCGGGAGAAAAACTTGGCACCTCGCGCAGAGCAGACATCCTGGCCACCCGGCCGCCTGGCACGAAGGCAAGATCCTGCTGGTTTTTGTTCTGTTGCATAGACGGAGAACCCTTCCGTTGCGGATTGGGCTTGTTGAGAGCACTGTAATCCTGTGACTTGCGTCTCCGCCGTAGTAAAAGGAAGGCCATAACAATAAGAGCTGCTAGGAGCGCGGCTCCCGCAACAGATCCGATGACGATACCTGCGATTTGCCCTCCCGACAGACCGTCATGAGCACCGGCATCTGCTGTCGAGTTGGAGGTTGAGGTGAATATTGGTCGCAAAGTCGCAGTCGAGGTGGGAATCGTGACGTCTTCGCATCGGCTCGCGGCATTCGTGTTGACACAGCAAGAATCAGTCGAGTTGGGCGAACTGGCTCCACAATATCCACATAGTCCGATCAAATTCGACCTATAGCCGCACTCATCGGGTTCGTTATCCGCGCCGGAAATGCAAGTACCAGTAAGTGAGTCGGCAGGCAAGGCGCATATAGTGAAATCTGACCGGATTTTACTCATGTAATCACTGCCTGTTATCGGGCATAGATCAGCGTTGACAATGATTTCCTCCTCGCTTGTGGCCATCAAGGCGCAAGTGTCGGCGCAAAGCGGCCTCGACTGCTGGGCGGAAAGATAGCAGTCGTTCTTTGAGCTTTGAACGAGTCCGTTGCATATTGTACTGGTGGTATAGCGGGCATAGTAGTCGTTCGTGTTGGTGAGGTTGACTCCTTGGCAACCCAGATAGTCGACATACCTAAATATGATCATGAATGCTTTAGTCGAAGCTAATATGACTGATCCGGGACAGGGATATGCCCTCACTTTTGCTTGACATAGGAGCCGTTCACATAGTTGCTCAATTCTCGATCGAAATCGTCCAGATTCAAAACATACTGCATGAACGGACTACCAGAAGGTCAGCACGCATCGAGCAAGTGGACACATGGGGTCTGGCCTACAAATCTGTGTAGAGAGTCGAGTTGGTTGATATGGATGAGCCATTGAAAGCAGGGCACTGCGTGGACCCCGATAGAGAGATGCAGGTGCCTGCCATCTCACTCCCCGACCCAACAGGGTAACCTCAAAAGAATGAAAATAAAAGTCGAGGAGCGCGGATGTAGGCAATGGCGAATCTCAGATACGTTATCAAGCGAAGTGACCGAACGCCGTTCTCATGGTATTATCTCTCCTTCAAGATGATTATCACAACTCAATTGGCGGTAGATTGCGAAAGGTAAGCAGCTGACCAAAGGTCAACAGAGACGGGAGACGCAACGCGTCAGAGTTGGAGAAGTGGACTGAAAAGAGCGTTCCAAATGATGAACGGCCACGAACAGTGGTGAAAAAGTGAAGGCGAACGAATGACTAGGTTGGGTTCGAGGAAAATAAGGCCTGAGACCTCGAAGAAGAATGGTGTACCAATGATGGGAGAAAAAGAGTCAGAGGATGGAGACAATCGACCAGGAAGAAACCGCAGGGAGAGTAGTGGCCCTAAGGATGAATAGCGTCAAAAAAGAGAAAGCATGATCTCAGCGGATCACAGACGATTTGGGCCCTTCGAAACTAACGTCGAGAAAGAGAGGACGGGCTTATTTCAATTATGACAATAATAATGATATCTTGAGACAGGACTCCGTAGCACAGATCACAGAAAAGCTTTTCAGTTTCAAGGGCCAAAGTAAGGTCTCGAATCCTAAATCGATTCGATTATCGCAGTCTGCAGGGTGCAGTCTGCATCGGAGGAACCGCGCAGAAGAATAGTAGGTAGTGGTAAAAGGGGGTAACGGGCGCTTGGCCAGTAGATAGATAGTCAGGTACAATAGCCTAGTCCTGCACTTTGCCGGCCACTTTGAGACTGGAAAGTTTGCGATAATTAAAAGGACTCCACTAAAAAGAGGCTAGAACTAAAGTGACCTTGGTGATTTGCGGCAGAAGCTGTAGAATGATAGAATCACAATGAGAGAGATAATAACGGTCGAGATCCACTGTGTTAATCTTATACGGAAGCAGTAGGTAGTCGATGCAAAGATACTGAGAGACCTTTAGACAGTTCGGAGCGCAACAAGGTAGGCCTGAGTGCTACATAAATATACGAACAAACGCAGGCACAATGAAGCTTAGATGTTGTCAATTGACGTGGCAGCCCTTGCCAGTGTACAGTTGGGACTTGGGAGGCCATCTGCTATCTGACAGCTCACATCATCCATTAGATACTGTCATCATCATGGTTGTGTTTTAAGGTCATCGACCCCTGCGATATCTCGGTTTTAAAAGATGATATTTTGATGTTTCCTGTTTGGTTGTTCGATTTCAATTCATTGTGGAACACGGGAGAACCCACAGACCCAGTGCGTTCCTTGGGCGAGGGAAGGTCCCTTACTGATCAAGGCGAAGCAAATATAATCCTATGAGGAGAATACTTATGAAGTAGGGAGCACTGTGAGTGTGAGGGTGAGAGACATATCTCTTGACAATAGTTCCTATTTCTCCATTTTCTCACTCTGACCTGTCGTTTCGGAATTGCCAGCGATTCCTCCTCATGAACAATAGATAAACATTGAGGGCTGTCAATCTTGGCCAATCACTATCATAAGCTCGCTCGGGTATTCATCCAGGGCTTGGTTGTAAGCAACATCACAATGGCATTGATGCGAATCATTCATGATGTGAATTGATGCGATAGATCGGATCCAGATCAGGCACAGAATGATTAAACATGCCTTGAAAACCAATGGAACTCCGGCTACTTGATTGTGGATACTCTTGTGCTTTGTCGCATTTCTTGTCCGTAACGAGTTATTTGAGTTTATATACGTCGCAAGATGCAAAAAGGCCGGGTGAAGTTCAGCGGAATCGGGCTCTTTATATTGTCTTTTCGTACTTAGAAGATGGTCATGATGATATGACCACCATGCGATGTCGAAGGTCATCAGTGATAGAGGTGTCTTGAAGGACTCGACTGCCCTGGTATTAATATTAATATTAATTCTGGTGGCTGAGGCTCTGATCCAAATCAGAGACATACATGGAGCCTGAAAATCATGGCACAAACGTCCCGCAAAATCAGGTGACATGTCGACGTCATATGACAGGATGGAGAGCTGAGGCAGGCTTCCATTTGACTTATCATTGTGATAACCATCCGTCATCGTCACATTGATCCAAACTTCATATCTGTACATTCTTTCTGGCAGAGTTTATGTGCTCAGTGTAGACACTTTGGCAAAATCTCCCTCCATCTGAAACCATTGTATGGTCAGACAGTTCGTTTAGATAAAGAACCCCATACTTTCTTCGACGCAGCCATGTGCGGTTCAGACATCTTCCTTGGGATTCTCGCGATTTTCTTTCCACCAGTTGCAGGTGAGAATCCAAGTCCTTGTGACATGATTTTGTTCTTGTTCTCTATAGCACCAGCTAACATAGTCTGTCAGTGTGGATTAAAGTAGGCATCTGCACAGCCGACTCGATTATCAACCTTGCACTCTGCTGCCTAGGCTACATTCCCGGTCTTCTACACGCATGGTACATCATACTCAAGTACCCCGAGCCAGATTATGATGACCCGAACTACGAACCCATTCCTGGCCATGCCGACCGGAGACAGGACGCCGAAAGTGGCCATGTGACATACTACTATGTTTCTCATCAGCCCATCCAACATCCATCCCAGAGAGGTTATGGCACTGTGACACCGCAAAACCAGCCGGCGCCGAGTACTGCTTCTCAAAATCAGCAGCAACCTCCCAAGCCACATCATGAGGAAGGCCAGGGTGGTAGCAGTAGCCAAGCTCAGGGTGACTCCCGGCCACCGCCAACCTATGCCGAAGCTGTCAAGGGAGACCACAAGGTGCAGACGCACGATTGAATGGTTGTAAAGATTTACGACAGCCGCTTATTGCCAAACCGTTGCCAGTTCGTGCCGAGGTCTCCGTCTACGAGGACCTCTCAGGTGTTTGAGTAAGATGGATATGTTTTTAATGTCATGGTTCACGAGAATTTAACGAATAAGGGATTGTTATGTTATGGATTGATACCACCACAACGTTGAAACGACAGAACAGGAGGAAGGAAAACACAGAGAAATATTACATCGTCGTCTATTTTACACAGTCTACTTACTCGCGCAGTTTATTTGGGAGAGGACGAGGATCTCTGCACTCAAGAACATGTATTCTTGATAAGAACTGTGCCATTTCATCATAATATTATAACGTTCCCAAAGGTATATCAACTGCCATATCATTTGTGGTACAATTTAGTAGCGATAGATCGGAGAGGAGAGGCTGCCTTTCCCGCGTGTTCTCCGTTCCGCCTTTTGTTCCGATCCAAGGTCAGCCTCAAGACATTGAGTTTCCACCACAACAATCCAACAAGAACTTGCTTGGATTCAAGGTTACCCCTAATTGGCCATGCAGTCCATGCCACTGCTTCTGAGGCAGTCGCTTAGGTCAAGTGCCAATTTTGCGAGGACATCTCTCCCTATACGACCACATTTTTTACCCGCCGCTGGGCGGAACATTCAACCTGCCAGAGACGTACAGCGGAGCTTCTCGGTCTGCATACGATGCCAATTCCGGTCGCGATCTCCATTATATTCATCCCGGGAGAAAGATACAGCAAAAGACGAAGCAGCTTCTCAGCAGTCAAAGGATGCAGAGTCAACGCCGACGTCCCGCGATGAAACGCTAAAGGTAGAGCCAGATGCAGAGACCCAACGGCCTTCTCTGGCCCCGGGAGAGCATGATGTCTTACCAGGGCTCGATCAAGATGCAAAGAACGAAGCGAAACCTGAACCAGCAGAGAAGAAGGGACTACCATCGTACCTGGAAGAACGCCGGTCACAGCTGTCCAAACAATTTACGGGGATGATGGACAACCTCCAATCCAACATTTTCGTGGCGGGCCAGCGATTGAACGATTTGACAGGCTACTCTGCCATTGAGGCACTCAAGAAAGACATACAACTGCAAGGTGTGTTTCGAAAATGATTGGAACATTCAATTCCTCCTCACTGATCATTAAATTCTCCGGACGAACAGAGGAACGACTCCGAGCAGCCCGTCTACGGGTCCGAGAAGCCAAAGATGCCTACGCAGCCGCGATAAATCGACGCTCTGCCTCGCAGCGCGAAGTCAACGAGCTCCTCCAGCGAAAACACGCCTGGTCTGCCGCAGATCTCGAGAGATTCACCCACCTTTACCGCAACGATCACACCAACGAAGTGGCTGAGATGGAGACACAGGACGCCTTGTCCGCCGCGGAACGAGAGTCCGAAGAGGCAGCGGCGCAATTGAGCAAGAGCATCCTCTCCCGCTATCACGAGGAACAAGTCTGGTCGGATAAGATTCGTCGAATGAGTACGTGGGGTACTTGGGGCCTGATGGGTGTTAACGTTCTCCTCTTCCTTATTTTCCAAATTGCTGTCGAGCCATGGCGCCGCAAACGACTCGTGAAGGGCTTCGAAGAGAAGGTCATCGAGGCCATCGAGAAGGAGAAAGCCATTGGCCACATGGAGATATTGAACCCTCAAACTGCTCTTGCACCGACTTCGCCCTCCCCCAACCAGGAAGCGGCGGAGACAGCACCTACTTCAACCGCCTTTGAAGACACTCTAACCACCTCTGAATACACCCCAGCCGTCTCTGGCGAGACCCCAGCCGCCACGGACGAAGCCATCACATCCGAACCCGTTGTCTGGGACTCCGATCCTACACCCACCGTCGTCACAAATATCCCCCCCGAAACCGCAACAGAAACAACAGAGGATAGCGCTCCCAAGAACACAATGATCAATGTCCTCGAGTCCTGCAAATCTCACCTCTCCCGCATTCCTCCTCCTCCTGCCTCCCTCGACTCATGGCGACAGACTCTCAATGACCTATTCAGTGACCGCAGTATCGCCATTACCCAGCGGGATCTGACCACTGTGGCTCTTCAGAGCGCTGCTGCCGGTGCAGCTATCATGGGTCTAGTGATTGCTTTGATTCGACCATGATGGTTGGTCTTTCACATATACATAATCAAATCCCTCGTAACTAGTCTACTTGGGACATCGAATTGTATCTTGAGCATTGTACAGAAATGAAATAGAGGATAGATGGACTGAGTAGGGAAATTAACTTGTATATTATTGTGCAGCTGGCGCAGCCAGTTTGAGTTGCCAAGTCAGCTCAGCGAAGTAATTCGAGGATAGCAGGAGAGATTACCAGATCGCATGATAACATTTAAAAAAAAGAAAAAGAAAAAAGGACAAAGGAGATTGAAATGAATATAGTAAACTGAACTATGACATACATATACTCGAACCAACGCTCAACAGATCTACATCTAAAGTCCACCACCTCTCGCCCAGATCAACCTCGACTTCCAACTGCTTCATCAGCTGCCACGAGAAAGAGGAAGGGACAACTCGCTTCTGACCCGCATGCGCGGAGGCAAGGTCTCATAACGAGGAAAGTCTATACCGAAACACAAGAATTTCACAGACAAGTGAGTGATACAGGGGCCTGAGCAGGGCTTGTTGGAAGATGATACAAGAGCTCATTTTTGGGTCCATATTAAAACACGGTCTCTTCAACTTGACAAACGCAACAAAGCTTCCCGTCTAAAGCACAAACGTTTCCCTTCTCTTTGTCTCTCTTTGATTCAGAAAATTTGCCGACTTACAAAGGAGAGATGTTCATTTAACCGATGACAAGGGTGCCCTCGTCGGGGAAACTGTACTGGGGAACCTCGAGGTTCAAAGGGGCAGGACCCTTTCTGATACGGCCGGAGATATCGTAGTGAGAACCGTGGCAGGGGCAGAACCAGCCGCCATAGTCACCGGATTCACCGATGGGGACACAACCAAGATGAGTGCAGACACCTTCAACGAGAGAAAGAACCCGCTATTAGTAACCGTCCGAGAGATAAGGAAAATCAGATAGCGTCAAAACATACCAAGCATGACCAGCCACTCGGGCTTCTGGACACGGTCCTCATCGGGCTGAGGATCACGGAGAGTCTTCCAGTCATACTGCTGAGCCTCCTGGATTTCGTCCTGGGTACGGTGACGGATGAAAACGGGCTTTCCACGCCACTTAATGATGACCTGTATAATTTATAGGTTAGTATAAGCACTCGGAATGGCGAAGTGTGCGTAAAGCTTCATGGATGAACGGGACACGTACGTTCTTGCCCTCGGGGATCGAAGCGAGACCAATCTCAACCTTGGCCTGAGCCAGGACGTCCGCAGAGGCGGACATGTTGACGAGGAAGTCTGATGGTAAAAATTGCATATCAGCAACCTGCTCCATGTGATACCAAACGAACCCAACTGCCGAATCTCTCCCAATGATGTATTCCAAAGCGACATTTGATCATCTCGTTCGTTTCCATATCTTCTCGTAAATTCGTTGATATCACCTACCCTGAACAGTAGCCTTGGCACCAACAGCAGATCCAAGACCGAGGGCTCCGGCCATAAAGTAGGAGAAAACCTGGTTCGAGCGGGGAGGCTTGCTGGAGGAGTATTTGCTGAAATTGGGGATCTTCAGGGTCGACTGGTACTCGTGGGAGCTGCCGAAAGGGCTTTCGAAGGAGGAGGACTTGGAGGCCTCACCCAGTCCTCTCCGTTGTTGGCAGGAGGTGACGGCAGCGCGGGTGGTGGGCAGCTGCTGGCGGGCGCAAGCGCGCAACAGAGTGCTCGAGGCCGAGGAGAGAGACATGATGAGACTAGCAATTGCAACGAATTGCGGGGAGGTGGGTGGAGGGGAGGAGAGTTGAGGGGGGAAGAGAACAATTGAATAATAGGACGGGAGGAATTCGATGAGGTCGGAGGCCCGGCATAAGTACCGGAAAAGTCGAACCTAATCACGGGGCGCCTCATTGGTCACCTGCTTGTATTATTACCTATACCACACATAATCATCTACCACCACTGTAGAACTACCACCACCATACTAATTTTCTACCCTCTCCAACCACGAAGCCCTTTGAATAGCATCAAATTTGAATCGCATACCTACATGCCCTAACCACCCCTTAATATCTATAGATTCACACTCGTCATATGCGTATTCCACAGTGGTGGTAATCTATGACAGAATATGACCTACACACGTTGAGGTTGAACGGGTGTCGAAGTTGGGCCAAGTTTGGCCGAACCACGGCGACCTTTCTCCGACACACGCCGAACTGTGTCCCTACAGAAGAGCAACAAGATCTAGTATCTTATAAAAAGTATCTTAAATATAAGAGATGAATGGAATTCAGGATGACACTAGAGCAACTAGGTAACATAAAAGAACTCATCCATGAGTTTAAAACCAAAAAGCTGTAATACCAGGGCTAATTTCTTTATTGTTTAATATATTTAGCCTGCTTACCTATTTTCCTTTATGGCTCCTGGTGTTCATTCAGCTCTTTATATTCCTATTTCTTTATTTATTCACTGGGTTTGCATATGCCTATCTCCCTGTTGTGGTGAATTAACATAAGGCTAACTAGCTATGTCTGTTCGCATCTTCTCACCTTAATCTTTTTTCTGTTCTCAGCACCTTTCTCCTCTCATCTGGTATATCTATGCCTCACTTTACATTAACATTTGCAAACAACATAATCAGATCAATATCTTTATCATCGCCTGATTCCCCTGTGAGTGTTTACTCACCCCAATTTCAATTATCTCGCGATTCAACCGGGCTTTCGAGGTCACTTTTCACGAGTGACAGTGAAACCGCCAGCACTGTGTCTAGCAACGAGCAAATCCCCCTCCCCGTGCCAATTGAAACACGAACAGCAGAGCTGCCTGATATAGTAGAACTGTCAGGGCCTGCTGAACAGTCTGCACCGCAGCCCGGACAATCAGCTATTGCGCAGCCACTTGAACTTCCTCCTCCTGGTGTCTTACCAACAGACTTACCAGCGGACCAAAACCCGCGGACACATCTGAGTACGCCCCAGCCTGCTGATAACACTCCCCAGACTATCACCAGTGGTACACTTGGAAACCCATCCAAGACAGGCTACCTACAACACGAATTACCAGCTTACCAGACATCCATGGCTCGTACACCCACGAAGAACAAAATGGTTAAGGGTAACAATGCTGGCAATGCCACTGATGACTCGGCTGCGAAGAAGCAACGCATTCAAGACGCCCAAGCACTTGCGCAACAGGTTAAGTACAACCCTTTCACTATGCTTCCAAACAAGTGGAAGGAAAACGTGGATCTCACAACCATCACAATTAGGAAAGCACCACCTGCTATTCCAAAATTTGACGAGCCAGCTATACCCATGCAAATAGTCGGTTTTATTACGGACCACCCGCACTCATACTCAGAACCAAGGGACTGTTTTGTACGCCTTGCACACTCTCCAGCATACATCAAATTCAAAGCCATCAGCCCCTGGTATGAGATATGTGACTCTTCCGGTCAGACCATGCCAATAACTGAATGCCACCTGCTGCCCAACTGGCGAGAAGATTTGGATCGACTGAAAGCGGCTAAAGAACAATTCATCCAAATGCTGCATTTACTCGGCAAGGCCAATGACGAGTACAACAGCAAGATGGTGAGCTACAGAGCTGAGTATATCAATGACATCCATGCCAGTATAGTAGTCATACCAATGCAAGAGAACGAGAGCATGGGGAATTATCCAATGTATGCTGGACAACTGTACATGTGGATTCATACTAAGTTCAGGAGATACCAATGTAATCATCTTCTTAGTCATTTGACATTCTGCTCTCTGTGGTTATACCATTCTGCTATGACTCTGTACGCATTTCCTTAAATGGAAGAAATGTCACGGGGTGTCCTGCGATGTCACAGGGGTCGGGTGTCGTGGTTGAGCCTACCTGGTATCGATACCACCAGCCTCAATTCATCGTATAACGATGGCTAAACGGATAATTGAAGACAGTGGGAGCTCTTCCTCCGGAAAGAGAAGGTAAGTCCATCCAAATCTAGATTGAGAAGGCCTTATTAGCAGGTCCACCTCAATGTGGCTTTCCGAAGGTCAGCTAGTGGTTAAGCCATAATAGCTAACTGAATGGCTTCTAGACTGCAAGCCATCGCCTCCTTAGAAGAGGAACCATCATTAGAGGACTATGAATCGGCCTTGGAAATCGATGATCCAGAGGATGATCTTTTCGTTATCGAGCCAGAGGATGATCTTTTCGTTATTGAGCCAGAGGATGATCCAGACCCGTCCAATACAACAATAGAGCATAGCATTGATGGTAATGCTGAAAAATCAGCTTTTCGGTCTCGCTTAGAAGGCATACTATACGGCATGATCAAGAATGTCAAAGAAACGCCTTTTGAGACTAGACATCAGTCGGCTTTTCCCCCAGGATTCTGGTTCTACATAATCAATTGCGATAGGTCACACGGTTGGGAAAGAATACTCGAGGTAATGGAGAAAGGCACTCTTGTAGAGGCCAGGAATGTACTGGGAAAGCCTAGTATAAGCTGTGATGACTTTCTTTCACTCCCGCTTGTTGGGGAAAACCATAGCCACCAGGGGATTTACCTTAACCATGTCGTTGATGTTGATGGTGAGGACGCCATATATGTTGGCTCAAGCTTAAAGAGTGTGAAAGGTCGGGTCCAGGACCATGAGCAACAAGTGTGGTCCAGCCAGACTTCGAAGATACCATTCCACTATTTGTGGATCAGGGCAAAACCTGGCCGGACTACATCATTCAAGGTGCTTACTCAGTTTGAGGATACCACCCCAGCATGGATTATCCTGCTTCTTGAGAGCATTTTTATAATAATGCTTAAAAGCTATACGCAGAACCCGGAGGGTCCAAGCAAGTTTGATCATGGGTCATCCAAGCAATTGTACGACACGCTTTCAAGCAGTTTTGGTTGTTCCAGTTACATTGCCCTTCAAGGCCTTAACCGGGCCCTCCCGATTCGCCAAGGCATTACAAGCACTGCTCCAAAGATTTGTGCGAAGTGCGGAGTCACGGAGGGTCAACAGTACTGGAGATGGGAACCCGGAACTATATTTGGTTCCGTAAGATGCTGTACGAAGTGCTTTAGGGCTGCCCGGGCTTTCAAATGCGGGCGATGTTCCAAAACATTTGCTACACTGCAGACTCTCCAGCGCCATGAGCAGCAGGCATTATCATGTGGATCACAGAATGCCCGGACTTTCAAATGCGGGCGATGTTCCAAAACATTTGCTACACTGCAGAATCTCCAGCGCCATGAGCAGCAGACATTATCATGTGGGACAGCAGTATCATATGGACCACGCCGTAAAAAGACATGCCAGAATTGCGAGAAATCCCACGTACAATGTGGACTGGAAAAGCCTGCCTGTCAGCGATGCATATCAAAAGGGCTTAATTGCCAATATCCACTGGGGCACATTGCTATGCCTGAGAGGAAGGCCACTGGCACAGCTAACAATGCAACAAAAGATGATACACCATTTCCTGATATACAGGAAGCGCGCAAGGCTCCCGTGGACGAACGAGAGCTATCAGAGAGCCTTCCCAGCAACGAAAAGCGTCATAATCAACGGGTTGTACCTCAATTCACGGTTCCCGGGCCTCTATTGCAAGACCATGAACATCGGCCGTATGCTCCAAGACCGCTTGCTCTGAGACCGCTACAATCTGCAGTCACTGCTGGAAATTCAGAACCTGTGTCTTTAGTGACTGAATCTGGTCCGGCTGCGGCATACCAGTCTCCTTACCCACCAGTTCAAGATGTGACCAGCAGTCCCCAGACTGAGCTCATTAATCCCAATCCCCAAACTCAGTTTATCGACCTCATGCGAAGAGTCTGTCCGCGATTAACCGAAACGGCTTCCGTACTGACCCTGACGTGGGCTGATACAACCGGATCAGTCACCAGCCCTGCTGTTGTTGTGGACACATCACAGCTATATGGTCAAGCAAGGAATGCATGCCTTTCGGCCATGCGGATGACTGCAGTTTGACTTGGTTAGGTGGGGTGATATCAAATTTGGCGTACACGTCGTCGGTGCTCTTGATCTTCACTGAACGCCATGCAACATGGCGCTCTACGCACCATTCAATGTAGTTCTCAAGGTTAACATGTTGGAACTCATCTTCGTCTTCGGAGTCGTCATCGAATTCAATTTGCGCCGGTAGTGTGGAAGGCTTTGGCTTTGGGGGTTGCGGTGGTTCGAGCTTGTCCCTTATCTTTTGCATTACCGCCAAGATTTTCTTCATCTTGTCATCGACTTGGTCCCTAGCCGGTCCAGAGCGGAATTTTTGGGCGTACGTAATGGCATTGGGATGGTGTGGGTGTACCGTGCCGATATTCCACGGTGAGGACTTCTGGGGGTGGTCGACGATGTTTTCTTTGTCGACCCATTTCCTTAGCTGCTTGATGTCGTCGGACGTTAGGGCGGCTTGGAAGACAGGTTTGCCAGCTTCAAAATTCATTTTGACAATCTTGTACTCCCAGTTCCGCCGCGCTATGCGCCATTTGCACATATCGGCCTTGTACTGCTCCATGGTTTCTTCCCACAGGCGGTATAGTTGGTCATACATGCTCAGGGCGCAAAGCAGTCGCTGCCTTTCTGTGGCATATTCAGGGTCCAAGCGGACATGCTTCAGTGTGAGGGTTCCTCCACGCACATCAGCGATCTCATAGATTTTCGTCATTGAGGTACGCAGGCTAGCGGGTTCAAAGCCATAGGCGATGGGTACGCCATCGTCGTCGATGAGTCCGAAATTTGTCGTCATGCCGACCTTGGTTGTTGGTATGGTAGGTTCCTTTAGCTTCGGCATCGGCTCGGGTGTGTCCCCGACGTAGTTCGTTTTGTCGAAGTCAACAACGATGCGAAACTTAGGGGGCAAGAAGCGAATGAATGAGTACAGAGGGGTAGCTTCACTGTCGTTGGTTTTGCTTCCTGATGGTTCGGCAGTGTCTGAAAGATTTGTGGTTGGCTCTTGCAACGCAGTTACGGGTGCTGGTGGTTCTATTGCAACGCTTGCTGCGGGTAGCTGGGGTGTTGGTGGTTCCATTCCGACGCCTGCTGCGGCTGGCTGGATTACAGGTTCAGTGGAAGGTGCGGGTTCTCCGTACTTCGCTGGTTGGTATGTGCTGGTCGGTTGCAATGATCTCAGGGTATAGTACGGGTTTGCGCCAGGGATCAGTGGTGTTCGGAAAGCCTCAGGTGCTGGAGTTCCGCTGAAAATTTCATTGCTCTGCGTCGAGCTCTGGGCTGCCGGGGTTGGGTTCGGTGCTGATCCGAACAAATTTGTAGCGTATGATGATGCTGTCGGTGGGTTTGCGGCATACGTTGGGAAATATTTGTATTGCATAGCTGTGAAGGCTGGTGGCGCGAGCTTAGCGCTCACCGATGCCGGAGGCGTGTTCCCAGCGCGCGGTGATGCCGTCAACGGGTTTGATGGTGCGCGCTGCATGGTAGAGCGTGGTGGAGTGGGTGGAGTAGGTTTAGGTGCAGCCTGGTTGAGCTCATCATCGCTGTCTGTTGTCTGCGCGGCTTGTAGAATCCAAGCCACTTTCTCCTCAGCTTGAGCTACCTCCTGTCTCATTTGCCGTGCTGCCTGCTTGATTGCAGGGTGTAGTCGCTTCTTAGTTAGTGTAGGGTTGCTTGAACTCAGCGGGGAAGGCCGCTTTGCTTTTCCTTTGCCTTTGGCAGAGGTTCTGGTTTCAACCATATTGTAGTCGTCGTGGTGATACACTGGTGAACACAGGAGAGGATGTACCGCCATGTCATCTTCAAGGCAGGCTTTGACCAGCGGATTGTCGAAGAATTTGTTTTGTAACGCGTTGAGGTTGCCAGCGTGGTGAGTGTGTTGATGTTTGTATGTCGTGCTCTGATGTAAGGCTTTCTGATCGTAGTTCCTCCTCCTCAGGTGATGTAGCACGTACTAGAGATGGAGAGATTGGATGCGTTGGGGTGTAAGGTAGTTCATCCATAGCTGAGGAAAATAAGAAGATGGGTTGGGGGCCGAGAGTATTTGTGTTGGGGGGGAAGTGGTGCCGTGAATAGTTCCTTGTTCTGCATGGTGAATAGGTCTTTGTCTCGCGATGCAAAATATGCAAACTTGATGGTAAATATAGTGTAGTGTACAGAGAATGAGCAATGGGTATTGAATGCAGTACTAATAACATATACATGGGACAAGTCGGAGTGCAACTTTTGCTAAAGCTGGGGGGCGGTGCCCTCTCGGTGGTGATCTTTGAATTCTTTGAGGAGGTCTTGCGCGTGGATGAGATCTTTCTCATCTAGCCATGTATTCTCGTGGTCGTCATACCCTAGCCATTTGGCTACGTATTGGGTCTTTGTACGTCCTGATTTTGTTTTGTGGTATCGCTTTGCGATGATTTTCTCAACTTCATATTCGTCCTGGCCTTCCACTTGTACTGGGCCTGGTTTGTCCAGTGTGGGACGTTTGAATGGATCGTCGTCTGGCAGGTGCCGTTCGAGGTGTGCGACTGATATGACAGGGTGGATGCGCCATGACTCTGGCAGATCAAGCTTGTAGGCTAATGATCCTATGCGTTGTAGGACAGTGAATGGTCCTGCGTATTGGTCACTGTATTTAGGAGATATAGCCTTTGGTATGGCATAACCCTTGTGGAGGCAAAGTAGGACCTTATCACCAGGTTGGAACACCATAGGTGTGTGGGATTTATCGTATTGTCTCTTCATTGCTAGGCCTGCCAATTTGAGTGCTTCTGCAGCTTCAATGCGTGCTTCAAAGCTCTGGACCCTGCCTGCGCCGCATAGGCCCAAAGCGTTCGGTGCGAGTAGTGTGATTCCATACATAAGCTGATGTGCCAAAAACCCAGTGGAGGCGTTACAATAGCTGTTGAGTGTGGCTTGGAGTTGTGGTAGCACTTTAGGCCATAGTTTGTAGTCGTTCAAAGCACCGATAGCCATTCTGAGGTAGAGTTCAATGATTTGGTTAGAGTAGCTCAAATTATATAATGCCTTGCGCCTGGTTCGATCACTGGTCTACCATTTCCACGTCACGGTCGTTCTCCCCCGGTTGCGCCTCAACCGTTCGGTCAACCATCAGCGTACTGAGAGAGGGAGCCCGAGGGCTTATAGAAGGCTTATCAGCTTTCTGGTGACCACCCTCGCCATTTGTTTTGATCATCGATGGTATTGTGCCGTTCAATGTGCGCTGTCCCTTCTCGAACGCGGCGTCTTTGCTGGCTTCTTTCGCTTTCTTCTCCTTGAACTGTTTATAGGTAGTTGTTTTGGGTATCACGTCGGCAAGAAACTCCAGATTATCGATTCGTGAAACAGCGGTAGCTGTGTCATATTCATCAGCGATCTGCTCGTTTCTTCAATGCTATGATACGCGACGGACCTAGATCCTTGTATTGAATAACCTTACGCGGTTTTCGTTCAGATTTCACGACGTTATGCCCTTGTTGCGCGAGGTATTGGATGAACAGTTCCTGAAAGAAATAGGAGGACGGAATTAGCGGAACTTGCTCGACACAAGGCTCAGAATCCCGAAGGCCAAAAGGGGAGGCAAACTGTAGCTTTTGCGACAACGAACGTAGCATTGCCTGAGCATTGTACGATATCCTCATCCAGATGAATTATTTTCTTTATTCGAGTGACTGTGATATGTAAGCCCACTGAGTGGATTCATCAAAGCTCCTGTTTCAGACGCACTAGGTAGAGCACTCTGGCCGGTTGTCTCATCTCTGGGTGTTGGTGCTGGTGCGGGCTTGTCTTTCGGAGACATAGCGGACTCGATTTGGGGGCCGCTTGGGACCTGGTCGTATATTGACGATGTTTCAAAGCAGAACTGGTATCAAAGATAATTGTTCAAATTTGAAAAGACCGTTGAACGCTCTCGTCTGAATCGGAGATGAATATCGCGCGGTTCGGAAGGTCGAGAAATTACTGCTACGCCGCGTGCGGGTAGAAATCAAAAGCGCGTGGCGTATGTAGATGCTCTCCGCAAGTGATGTTGAATATGCTTGAATATGCTCGATTACAATAACGGGGTCGAATCAAGCAGGGCGGCCCCTGTATGTTACTGCTGATCAGACAAGTCGCTGAAGATGGAAAGAAAAATCATTATCTTACAAGTCTTTGGGCTACGCCTCGACTGACAATTTAAACCCATCGTTATCGTTCGTTATCTCCAATCTCAAAGCGGAAAGTTTCCTCACGTGGGCGGGCTGCATATCTGCCATTGAACATTGTCATTGCAATCTAACTGCTCCCCAGCATCACGTCCACCTCGACTATGCTCCTACCACAAAAAGGAACCGTGGTATGAGCTCGATGCCTGCCTCGTCAACCACTCCCCGCTCACCCTCAGTCCTGTCTGAGCGTCGGAATTGTAGGTTATCAGGCTTATCTGTCACCTCGCCTGTCGACCCTAGCCCGCCCGACGACAATGGCCAGCCGAACGCGATTACGGATGAGATCAGGAAAATAAAGCGATATGAGGATTTCACAACGATTGATTGGGTCCAGGATGCTATTCAGGAACAAGCGCGACGGAGAGCGAAGCGACGAGATGGGTCTGGGTTCTGGGATCAGGAAGGCACCTTTGGTTGGAGGCGCAAAGTGAGCGAGTCTTATGACGCTGGGCAAGCTTGGCTCGTCATTACAATCGTTGGTGCCGCTATCGGATTGATCTCAGCTGTATTGAACATCATCACCGAGTGGCTGTCGGATATCAAATTGGGTCATTGTACGACTGCATTTTACCTCAATGAGCAGTTCTGCTGCTGGGGTGCTGAAGGAGGTATGTCATATCGCGTATGTTCTGCGCATGATCGTGGAGTTAACGTGTCTCTCTACCAGGCTGCCCCGAATGGAAGCCATGGACTTCCTTTTGGCTTATCAACTACTTTGTATACTTCTTCTTCGCGGTATATCGAACCTTACCTGTCCGTCCGGATCAATCGCTGAGAAAGTATAGACTTTGTTCGCATTTATCGCCGCCACTCTGGTTAAAGTATTCGCTCCTTACGCTGCAGGGTCCGGTATATCAGAAATTAAATGCATTATTGCCGGGTTCGTGATGAAAGGCTTCTTAGGTGCCTGGACACTATTGATCAAGTCCATCGCGCTTCCATTGGCCATCGCATCTGGTCTTTCAGTGGGAAAAGAAGGACCCAGTGTGCACTTTGCCGTCTGTACAGGAAATGTTATCTCGCGCTTTTTCAGCAAATATAAGCTGAACGCGTCGAAAACGAGAGAAGTCCTGACGGCAACGGCTGCGGCTGGTGTGGCAGTGGCATTTGGGAGTCCAATTGGTGGGGTACTATTCTCTTTAGAGGTTGGCGATCTTGAGGCTCATTTATCAGGAAGTATGCTGATAACCTGGATGCAGGAAATGGCATCTTACTTTCCACTCAAGACTCTTTGGCGAAGTTATTTCTGCGCTTTGGTCGCAACTAGTGTGTTGGCGGTACGGACGTGAGGTCCTGTCTCTGGCTGCTCTTCAGCCGCTAATCCAAGCCACAGATGATGAATCCCTTCAGGACCGGACAACTCGTCATGTTTCAGGTGCAGTATGACCGCACGTGGCATTTTTTCGAACTAATATTCTTCGTTCTTCTCGGGATATTCGGTGGTCTGTACGGCGCCTTTGTGATCAAATGGAATCTGCGAGTCCAGGCATTCAGGAAGAAATATCTTTCGCAATATCCCATCGTCGAATCGGTTGTCTTAGCGGGCTTGACTGCGTTCATTTGTTATCCGAACATGTTCTTGAAGATCAACATGACCGAGATGATGGAGATTCTGTTCCGTGAATGCGAAGGAGGGCACGATTATCACGGACTTTGCGAGTAAGCCGTTTAGCTGACCACTAAAGAAGATAACTGCTAATGATTCTAGGTCCAAGAACCGATGGACTACGGTTGCATCCCTAGTGATTGCTACTATTTTACGAGTTCTTTTGGTCGTCATATCTTACGGTTGTAAAGTGCCGGCCGGCATTTTCGTCCCGTCGATGGCCATTGGAGCGTCCTTTGGTCGCTTGGTAGGGATTCTTGTCCAAGCCTTGCACGAAGCTTTCCCGAATTCCGCCTTTTTTGCCTCTTGTCGACCAGATGTTCCATGCATCACTCCTGGGACATATGCGTTCTTGGGCGCTGGGGCCGCTCTGAGTGGTATTATGCACCTCACAATATCCGTAGTGGTCATTATGTTTGAACTTACCGGGGCCCTTACTTACATTCTACCCACCATGGTGAGTCAATCATGCTGTGGTGCATTTGTCAAAGAGACTAACATCGGCAGATTGTGGTGGGAGTCACCAAAGCCGTTAGTGATCGCTTTGGAAGCGGGGGAATCGCAGATCGAATGATCTGGTCCAACGGCTTCCCGTTCCTGGACAATAAAGAAGAGCATGTCTTCAATGTGCCTGTCTCCCAGGCCATGACGCCTGATCCTGTCTCTCTTCCTGCGGCCGACTTCCCTGTGCGCGAAGCGGAGCATCTTTTGAACGACAACAAATTCCAGGGGTTCCCCGTCGTGGAGGATCGTTCAAGTAAGGTTCTGGTCGGTTACATCGGCCGCACTGAACTCCGATACGCGATTGATCGGGCAAGGTCGGAGAGTATGTTGGCTCCTAATGCCCGGTGTGTATTCACCAAAGAAGCCGCCGAAGCCGCAGTGGCGCGCAAGGCATCTGTCTCGAGAAATCATTTGGTGCCCAGCACCTTTGATGCGATTCAAACTAGTTTAGGGGCACCTTTCGTGGATTTCAGCAGATATGTTGACCACACACCGCTAACTGTGCATCCCCGCCTGGCACTCGAGACTGTCATGGAGATTTTCAAGAAGATGGGACCGCGAGTGATCCTGGTTGAGCATCGTGGTCGGGTCACGGGACTTGTCACTGTCAAGGATTGCCTGAAATATCAGTTCAAGGTGGAGGCCGAGGAGCAAGCTCTCGCATCAACGCATACTGCGGCGGACCTTCCACTTGGAGCTCATCTTAACGGGCGCCAGAGCGATAGTCTGGAAGAGCGGGTATGGCGCTTTCTGCAACGTCTGGGCTCGATGTTGCCACAGTGGTCGCGCCTTAATCGAGACCACAGGCCAGTGACTTTAGACAACCGGGAGCCAAACAGGGTCCTGAGCGGAACTGAGGATGAAGATGCTTTTGTGGAATTGACGGAGAGACATTGACGTATATGATACCTTTCCATGTACTATATCACCTAAAACAGACTATAGGATGAGGCATCCTAAGTAATAGCTTCATTGTACTTGGCACTCAGTTTCTTTTCTTACATGCATGCAGTCCAGTGCTCAGACATGTTTGCTTAGATGCATAAGGCTCATGAATCTCTCATTCCAACCAAAATACACCCACCACCCATCATCCCAGCTCCCAACCACCACAGCCCACTCACCTTCTCCCGAAAGACAATCATACCCAGCAACGCAGTGATGAGGAAGTTGGCCGACGTGTTAGTGATGGACACCTTGACCGTGGAGGGGGCCGCGGTCAACGCTCTCGTAAAGAGCGCCCACATGATGATGTTACACAGGACATTGAGTCCCAAACAAACCTTTGCAAAGTCAAACACTTTCTTCAAAATACAGGAAAGTTAGGGAGACATACACCTCGGACCACCAGTTCAAGGAAGGTATTTTGATCCCCTGCGCCGAAGAGATGCAAGATACTCCTGGCGAAGGCGGTGGTTTGCTCGTCGGTTGTTCTGGCATTGCAATTTAGCGAATGATCTCAATCAAACCCATGTCTCTTCCCTAGGGAGACTCGTAGACATACAGTTTGGCGAAAAGGCCATTGAGGGCTGCGAATGCGCCGCTGGCTAATGCCAGGATGATCCAGCGGGATTGAATGGGTGATTGTGTCATGATCCCGGCTTCTTATCCGTGATGAAATAATTGGAGCTTATCTTCCAGAAGAAACTTATTGTATTTGAACCGACGTTCAGTTCTTTTCACTTGCAGAGATGAGGAAAGTAGATGTTGATGTTGATGGCCCTGAATGCGTACACTCACGTGACAGGGGTGATTACCTGAACATTTAGCATCTAGGTATGGCATCGGGGAGAGAGCTACATGACAAATAGGAATATTTGGATTGTATCTGATATAATTTCAACCAGAGGCAGGTCTGATGAGAAGCAGCTTGTCAGAAACCAAGCCCTGAGGCTCACAGACACCGTACGGCGCTATGGAGCGGTGTTGAACGCTCACGGCTCTATTTTAAGCGATTGACATGCTCATAAGCCAAGACGAATTTTGTCCAAGATAATCCTGCTGCCACATGTGCACAGAGACGAAGGAAGTATCCAAGTACTGGGTCTTGGTGACCATCTATCTATAGACCGAGTCTCGAGCTCTATCTAGGTTGGAGGTTGATACAGTAAGGGATTGAAAAGCCAGCAAAATCGGAGCATTCCGAGCATTCCGACGAATGACAGATGGCAGGACAAACGAGAAACGCGTTCTCGGAGCTGATATCATTCTTGTGTCCAAATGCATGCGGATTCCGTCAGCATACAGCCGTCAAGGCGCCTTCATCCGTCCATCTCATCTCTGATTCGGCGGGTATGGCTGTTACAGTGATAGGCCAAGGCCATTGTTCAAAGGCTGTTGCCCAATGTCCTTGAAGAAAGGGATCCGTTCTGACCAATCATGGTGTTGGATTACTGGCTGACCGCCTTGCACCATGTGCGATTACTCCGGGCGGAAAAACTTCCGGTCCGGTGATGGCGGGGATTTTTGTATTTATCCATGGATATACGAACTGACTCATCTAAGCAGAGCGCACTATATAGGGACCGCGGTTTCCGTCAGCAAGTTTTTGAAGGCATATTCTTCGCGGACCATGGCAGAAATGAACGCAGCTGAAAGGTTCTCCCTCATTAAGGAGAACCTTCAAGAGATTCTCAACCCGGATATCATTGAGGGCATTCTCGCTGAGGGGCGCAACCCAAAGATCTACTGGGGTATTTGCACAAACTTTTTTTCATGTGACAGCTGGGCAGTTGCTGACATCTTCTTTTTCAATTGACAGGAACGAGTCCCACGGGCAAACCTCACTGCGGATACTTTGGTACGACGCCGTTGCAATGCGATTAAAAGCCCACGGCTAACCCCCGCATTTTAGTGCCCGCCGTCAAGATCGCACAGTTTCTGGCTGCCGGTTGCGATGTGACGATCCTGATTGCTGATATCCATGGTTTCCTCGATAACCTGAAGGCGCCGATTGAGCTTGTTGAATACCGGGCGAAATACTATGAGTACACAATTAGAGCGATGCTCCAGGCTGTGGGCGTCTCGACGGAGAAATTGCGCTTCGTCCTCGGCAGCTCTTACCAGAAGAGCCCCGAATATGTGATGGATGTGTACAAACTGTGCTCTCTGGTTTCGGAGCACGACGCGAAGAAGGCTGGTGCTGAAGTCGTCAAGCAATCCAACAACAGCCCCCTCAGTGGTCTCCTCTACCCCATCCTTCAGGTGCTGGATGAGCAGCACCTCGATTGCGATGTCCAGTTTGGAGGTGCGCTTCCTCAGCTATCACAATCTGCGCAGAGGCTAATTTGAGTAGGAGTTGACCAGCGCAAATTGTTCGCGGCATCCACCGAATGGCAGCCCAAGCTGGGTTACAGAAAGGTCAGCACAACATTGTCGTATGGCTCATGTTCTATGCTCACATACTCCTAGCGCGCACATCTGCTGAACCCCATGGTTCCTGGACTTACCGGTGGTAAGATGAGCTCGAGTGAAGAAGGTACTGTCGATTCTCCATACGCCTACGAGCAGCTTACTGAGTTTCGATAGACAGCAAGATTGATCTTCTCGAGGCCGCGGACACTGTCAAAAAGAAGATCCGCAAGGCCCAGGCTGCTCCCAAGGAAATTGAAAACAACGGTGTTCTGTCATTTGCAGAATTTGTCCTGCTTCCTGCTTCCGCCCTGAAGACTGGCCGCCCAGAATTTCGCGTCAGCCGCGAGAGAGACGGCCTGGAGCCTCTCGTCTACAACGACATCAAACAGATGCAGGAAGATTATAAGAACGATATTGTATGTACAAGGAACAAACTTTCGGCGCAAAGGTCATTTGGTCTGATGCTTACTTCTTTACAGTTGACACCACAATTACTCAAGCCCGCTGTGGCGGACGCTCTTGCTGAGCTTATGGCCCCTATCATCGCCGCTTTCGAGGCCTCGAAAGAATGGCAGGAGATCACATTGAAAGCATACCCCCCACCAGAAAAGAAGAAGAAGGAAAAGAAGCAAAAGGAAAAGGGAACCCGCTACCCCGGGGCCAAGCCTGGTGAGCCAACCGAGCTCCCTCTTCGGGAAGTCGGAATTCAGGAACCCTTAACGCAGTAGATTCAATAGAGCTAGATACCTTGAATGACATGATGCATATTTCTACTAAACTACTGCTGCAATCCGCAGATCCTCACCACCTTTCAGGTTGAGAACCGCATTCATTTTTCGTGGTCAGTATGACCCTACGCCATTGCTCGCAGGCGGGAAATAAATAATGTCATGCCCTAGGACATGCTACCAAAAATGTCGTGGCCTACTGCAGGTAGGTGCCTGTATGGGAATTGGTAAGAAGCTGCGTTGCTATCTATGCTATCATCTCAGTAGATATGGGGATGCTTAGGTCATCCCGGTCGCTAAAACCATGAGTGGATGGTAGCGGGAGCAATACGGAAGCAGTAGGGCATGACATTGACGAAGGGTGTCCGCGTCTTCAATGTCCCGCTCGGTTATCTTGTTGCCGTTGACGAGGTAATCGGGGTGTTTGGTGTATAGCCATTTGATGAACTGCAGTTCCCAAGAGCGACGGTCACGGTGCCACTTCGTCTGCTTCTCAGCAAATGAGCTCAGGGCGTCCTCAAGTTCTTTCAGGTGCAGTTCTAGGAGTTCAAGCGGAGCATCAAAGGCGGAGGAGGTGGTGCTGGGTGTAAGAGGAGCAAATCCATGTTGTCTTAAATGATATCCTCCCATTGCAGTGTGATACGCTGCTAAGCATGGTTTCTTAGGATTAGATAGAGTGTCTGAATCCATATCAAAATTATGCAGAGTGAAAGCCATGCATTAGAATGACCTCTCTTTTTGCTGGTCCTAGATGTAGGATCATACTCATGAACCTTAATAAATCTAGTCAGGCAGTGTGTATTATCTGGCCTCAGTGGGCCTAGCTTCATAAGTATTACTGCATGGATCTTACCCTGAGAGCCTTCTAGTAGGAGATTTACATCTGCTTTTAGCTAGTCATATATCTTAGAGTATCCAACTTTAAGAGTAAGACTAGGCTATATTCCATCATCTAGGATAATGAAACAATCTAGTATTTTTAAACTATAATCTTAGTACATGCTGATATAACAGGAAGAATGTAGGCGACATACCTCCCGGAAAAGTGGCCACTGAACCCTTTCAAGGTAATGCCAGGGTGAGGACTTAATGATTCGGGGCCGATGTACCCTTATAGCTCCATCCTGACTAGCCAATCATTAAACTAACTAAAGCTGCTTCCATGTATCCATGTTAGCATTTCGACGTGAAGAGTTTGAGTGAAAGAATTGTAACAATGGCTTTCATTGCCGGTCTTATTGTTGAACTTATCGTCTCTGTGGCGGGGATCAAAATAGACAAGAGACCGTGATATCAGTCGTCCCCCGTTGTTGGCAAAATTGAACCAGATCCCGTTCTTTTTTGGGTTGAAACGGGGGCGGAGGTAAACCTCCTGATAGGCATTAGAAGACAACACGCGGCCTTTCGTCATCGTAGCGCCCATGCTGCGGGTCATACCCGCCTTGATCAAGGGTATGGGGCATGGTTTCCATGCGGGCGTCTCGTCCGGCGTGTCGAAGTCTAGTTTTGATGGCAAGAGGCGTTCCACTAGGAAGAGATCTGGGAGGAAACGGACCAGGTTAACAGCGGGGGTGGCATCTTCCTTTTCTTCATCAGGATCTTCGTCATCGCTTGCAGGTTTTTTGTCGTCGTTTTTCAACCCTTGTTATCCGATGCCCGAGAGAACAGGAATTGGATTGTTGTATCGTGATATCGAGCGGTACGCAAAGATATCCAATTCCTTCTTGTCATTTACACGCTGCCTTAGTGAACTGGACAGTCCCTATTTCCTTCTCAAGCTGTACGCCTCTTGACGGCACCTAAAGCCAATATTTGCTGGCAGGGACGCCGTCTTCGTGTCGAGTATGCCATGAGAGCAGCTTGGGCTTGTGGTATCCTGGGTAGTGCATCGCTGAACGGGTCATTTGGGTCGTTGCGGTTCTTGTTCCTTCTCATGAAGTGGTAGCAGGACTCGGAGCCACAGGGCCACGACTGGAAGTAGCAGGGCTTGGAGCAACCGGCGAAGACACGACAACCGTGGGTTCTCTTACGCGGGGTTCAGCAAGCAACAGGAGGTTCAACAGGCTCTTCATCATCAACTTTGTCGTCATTGAGGGGTGCAACCAGGAGCACCCTTCAAGGGAGGACCATCCTCTGCGATGGCCAGGAGACCACCAGCTTAAAGAATAGTACTACTTCAGTCAGCAATGTAGACTCAATAATTGCGCGACAGTAACATACATGTCATCAGAACTATCCCAAGCCCCCTTCTTCCCAAGATGATATCAGCACCGTGCTGCCTTATTCCGCAGGCAGTCAGAGCAAGACGCGGAGAATAGGGCACGACCTGGCCACTCTAGCAAAACAACACACTGCCGAAAGGTGCCTGCTTTGCCCAAGCAAGACTCACATGCGTCAACAAGGACAACTCCTCGTTGATAGAGGATAGTTGCAGATTAGTGAACAGACGTTCTGACCAACTTGACTGATTCGGAACCATCTTTACCATATGCCCACTCTAGCTCCCGCACTGGGTCCAGCAACTGGATGCATGAGCTCTCTGTCTTAGTCAAGTCTTGGCATTCTGGTTCTCTCAGCCTTTGATAACGCTATTCAGACAATGCACCCCCTTCATGGGGAATATCACATCCATACAATACGTGTTCCTCGTCAACCTTTCCGCATCCTGCTCTTACTGGCCGTTGCGTCGCTTGATTGTCTTGGCTTTTTGGGATATGAGGACATCAGAGAGGCGGTAGGAGGCATCCTTGGCGTCGCATTTCAGGGATTTATGTCCTTTGCCTCGGCACAGAATACACAGGCCCCCCTCTTTGGTCAGGGGACGTTGTATCTTTTTGGCCTGGCCAATTTCCAGACTTTTTCCCATCCCTTTCACCGGGGTGGTGAAAATGATGACATAAGTGCCTGTGCCTCTTCCAGACTCAGACCGTAACTTTTCCCGGATTTCGTACGCCGGGATCGCGGACTCATTTGCGGCCTTGAACTTAGTAGTGATCGCCGCCTGCACTTCCACATCCCTTGCCGTTGGGCCTGCATCCAGTACGTAGACGTATGGTCCCGAGTTCCCTGGGTCACCGAACTTGGCGACCTGAACCGGGATCGTGCTGCCCTTGTACTTAAACGTGCACTTCTCAATCCTTTTGAGGTCCTTATCGCGGTTTGTGGGGTGTCGTAAATGATTGCGATAAAAGACGACGCTGATGTCACTATTCTGACACAGACTAAAGCCTCCATTGCAGAGTGTCTGTTTGGAGTGCTCTTTTTAAGAGCCACCCACAGAGCAGTTCCTTGGGAGGTCAATGCTGTTTTCTCGGTCTCTGACATCCTTGCGTTGAAAGAGGCCGTTGCTGCCGAACCTGGGGTCGTGAGGGGTTCCGAACTTGTCTTGCTCTTCTTTGGGGTCCTAGGGCCTAGCTCTGCGTCCTGGCCAATGGGCTGAATCCTCTGCTTCCCAGCTGGTCCCTCACCCGAGTTGCTAGCCTCGTCCTTGCTCTCGCTGTCGGTAGTACTAGGTGGATCTTGATCCAGAGGAGTCGTCAGATCAGGTCCGTCGATGTCCATGTGGCCAACACACTGCACAGCATCAATTGCACCGCGACGATCGGGGATGGATAACGACATGACGAGATATGTTCGCTCACTGAGAGGGAGGGCACTGTCAACACTGTCAACACTGTCAACACGGCGAGCAGCACGGGCGGCAGCAAGGGCACCCTCAGCCACAAGTGCTCCTGCTGCTGCAGCACCCACACCAGGCACTGGGAGCGGGTCAAGAAGACTTCCACTTTGAGTTTGAAGGAGCATTATTAACGGGTGCATTAAAAGCAACGTGTGTGAAAACCTCTTCGAAGACCCTGGATGCCGGAGGTCGACAGTCATCATTCGCATTGGCGGAATGTCATCACCAATCAGCGCGCCCTTGTCGTCGGAGCAGTCCACAGGGTCCCCCATGTCTCGACGCAGACACAGCATGCGCATGATTACTGGCAAGGCCCAGTACGCGTCTCGCGGGGCTTCACGCAACGCGCGGGGGGAATTATGGAGGTATTTATACCTATAGGACAGACGCTAATAGGAAACGCTCGGTTATCTGTTTATCAGAGAAGCAGAATCGCAGCGAAGCTTGTTCGCCTTCTCAGCCTTTCGTCGCATGCCCATCGTCGAGGATGTCAATTGAAACGGGCGACGAATTCCCTCTTGTTGTGGGATGATGAGACAACCTGCCTAGGAACTAATTCAGTCAAGGGCTTTTCCCTCACAGCTAACCCGAGATCAGTTCTATCGGCAGGCACACATCTAATCAGATGTATGAAGTACCAGACTGCTCTCTTTTCAATGCGTGCACCCGAGCCTGCAGCCGTCATTGATGCGCAGTAGACTGCCAGGAGAAACGGTCCATGACGGAGGACAGTTCTTGGGAAGCAAATGGTCGACAACAACGACATCAGAAAAGGAATGTCGTCTTTCTAGCACCTGAGCCATGTGACTCGAAGCATCCAAGAGCTCTCAGCCATAAAAATGCACACTCAACTGTTGCGGTAACTTTTCAATCGGTCGAACCTTTCGACGATTCCACTCCCTGTGGAACTTGGCCTCAGGAGAGGATGCCGCGGATCGGCTCTTTTTTTGGCGGGGAAACTCGGTGTCCAGCTGGGGTTCTGTTGCTTCGAACCCTGGGGCGAAGATGGTAGTGGAACAAGTGCGGAAAGTCTTAGGGCTGGCTGGATTCCTTAATGATTCCTTAGGATGGACAACTCTCAGGGCATGAGATCTGTTTTCCAGGACTACACCGGTCCTAAGCCCTGGGTCTTAGAAATGGCTTCCAGGACCTCCTCTGCCTTGCCGCTCCAAAGGTTCTCAATGAGTGTATAGAGCAGCTGCAAGGCCTCTCCCCTTCCTTGACGGTATTTCAGATTGTACCCCTGACTTCTGATTATAATTAGACGCTCTTCAAGCGGAATATAATCCCCAATAATGCTCTTCAAGTAATTTTGGGATGTTCGCCGAATCGGATCAGTTATCTGTTGAATTGGAGCGTCTGAAATTGAAGCTGTCGGAAGCTGTTCAGTCAAAGCAGTCAAGAGTACATTCAATTCCGTCCACACGTCCGTATTTCTTCAGCTGGCGGAATGACTTCACTCCCAGCTCGGGTCACACCCTGCGCTTCTTCAATCTCAGGGTGTCGGTCTTAGAAGGAGAGAGGTTGGTTTTAGCAAAGACTATCAGCAAGGGGGATAGCGGGGTTTATATGCCATGGCCCATGGCTTTTGCTGGTGAATGGCTTGGGCTTTTGGCGGTTGAAGTGAATGACTCAGTTGAGTTTCATGAAAGGAGCAGGTTAGTGATGATAGTAAGCAGACAATAAACCCCTTCACTCCAGTCACTGTTCACTGAAGCTGAAAGGATCTTTGCCTGGTATTCATTATTAAGTCTTAAGAATAGGTATTAGATTCACTTAGCCTTGATATCAATGGTCTATTGTAAGGTCTATGGCGAAAGTCGTTGAATCTGCCATTTGAACGACGAATCGTCGTCCAACTCCTTCACTCTCACATACCGGAAGCGATCATGCAACCGACTGCGTCGGCCTTGCCAAAACTCCACCGACTCAGGTACCAGTCGCACACCACCCCAGAATGGTGGAAGAGGGATCTTCTCTACCCCCGCAAACCGCGCCTCCATCTCCTGTACCCGCTGCTCAAGCAGAGCCCTCCCGTCATCGATGTCCGTCTCGTCAATGTCGGCCGGGATCTCAGGACATTTAGACGTGTACGTCGAGCCCTGACGCTGCGCCGCGGCCGCAACGCTTTTCCGCCGCCGGTCAATCAGTGTATCGGGCTCCGCCGACCAGAGCACCTTACTCTGCCAGCTCGCCCACGCACCGATCTGACTTCCCCGTTCTCGAGTATACCAATACAACTCGCTCTCCTCGCGGCTGAGTGGCTCCACCATCCCCTCAATACGAACTTGGCGCTCCAGCGCTGACCAGCAGAAGGTCAACGCAGCCCACCGATTGCCCCCCTGCAGGCCTTGGAGAAGACTCTCGTCCTCGCCGGGCCGGGGCATCGCACCAGGGAAATCACCGCCATCCGCATGCACACCAAACACCTGCCGCCCTTTGCCCTCTCGGCTGCCCCAGTTACTGTACACCACCCAGCCCCGCTCATCCAGTTCCTTGAGGTAGACAACGCGCGCGCTGACCCGCCCAGAAGGCAGCGATGCCGTGGCCAATGTACATGTTTCTGGAGCCGAGGACGGCGACAGCCGCGGGTCGCGGAACCAGGTGTGGAATTGATGCAGCGGGTTGGACGGATGCATCTGGGAGATTGTCAGGGGCGGGTTGCTCACGAATTGGTGTGCACGGGCCGGGTGAGAGACGATCTGGCTCTCGATCGTGGAGTCGGGGGTCGAGACATCTGAGCGAAGTTGCTCGGCGAGATGCGAGGGGACATTGGGGGCGGGTGAGGAGGGATCCTTGGTCTCGGTGGCTGAGACTTTGAGGTCGGGGGTTGCTTGGATGTCGCCGGGCGCGACTCGACGGGTGTTAGGAATAGCTCATTCCATTCTTTGAAGTAGGAGATGTCAGAAAACGTACAGATCAGCTTCTTCGGCCGTCTCGAGTCCATTGCGTGCTCGTCAGCTGTTGGATTCCCCGAACTCATACTGCGAAAGTACCACGTTTGGTTATGACTGCAACGGCTCCTTGCCAGAAGAATGCGTAGAGGACACTGAGCGCGTAAGCACACACGATGAGTAAGCATAGACCGTGTAGCTGCGTGAGCTTAGCGAGAGGTGATGGACTTTGAAGAGTGATAGCGAGGATTCTACGGAGTAAAAGTCGGGGAATTGCGAGTCATCAGCCATCATGCGGGGGTCGACAACGGAAATCTACGGCCGGGATTTATTGGGCTTAGGAGTAATCAACAACATGCAACAACGCGAGGGACACTTTCCGAGTCGGCTGATCAATGTCGACTGATCGATCAATCGCGATCGCATAATTGACCAAAGATTCTCCAAATGCGTTCAGCCGCTGGGGAATTCGAATCGTACAAATCGCAGCCCGATGATGTCATCATCACCAGATCTAAGATTGGGCACGGCGAGGTATCTACAATATGTATGCTGCGATTTTGATTCGTATTTCGTGTGAATTCTAACCTGGTTGTCTTTTGAACAGCGGGTAGATGCTCAGGATAAGGAGTAGAGAGTGGTCTATCAAGACAACGGAAATATGGAAAAAGAAGAAGAAAAAAAATCAGAACCAATGTGGTATGGTATACACGCAACATAATGAATCCCAGTTTTGACCAACGCCTCGCCACTCGCTGAATACATATCACAGTGTAAACGATTCTTGAAACAAAGTAATCATGTATCAGAAAAAATTGATGTTGCCTTCCCGAATGCCTGTGCGAAGGCCATCGGGCTGGAAATAGCCAGAAGACAGGGAATCCAGCCCTGGCAACTTAGGCGCGATACATTAGAACAAGTACTTTTGATTTTGTCAAACGAAGGTTCCAAGCTGGTTGAAACGAAGAAGGGAAGGCAACATCATCGGATGAAGACCCTGTTTAGAGAGCAGCAACTGGTGCACCACCTCCAACCAGGTCCAGAATCTTGCTGGCAACAGCAGTAGGATAGCCACGAGACAGCATCTCCTGGACAACACGAGAAGCTCCCTCGCGGTCTTCAGATGCCAAAAATGCACGAGTCATGGCCTCATAGGTGCTGGGCTCCCGTTTGTCTAAGCCAACGCTGTCATAGACCACCTTGGCCTTGCCGACGTTGCCCTCAGCGGCCCACCCGTGAATAAGAGTGTTAGCAATGTAGGCAGTCATCTCCACACGGCGATCGGCCATATCCTTGACTATGGCTTCAGTCCGAGCAACCTGATGATTGGCCACCATGGCCTCCAGCAGAGCCTGGTAGAGGCATGGCTGTAGGCGCACCTTGCGGTTTGATACAACGGACTGAAAAATGTCCAGGGCAGCATCAATATCGTGCATCACGCATCCCTTGGCGTGGATGAGGGATGCATAGTGTACGGCTTCGGGCTGCTGTCCGGAGATCTTGATAGTTTCCAGCACCTTCTCAGCAGCAGTCATGTCCACGGGCTCCAGGGACGCATAGGCGTCAATGAGTAGTTTGTACGTGTGCATGGTGGGCTGGATGTTGCGACTTTGCATGCGCTGGTAGTAGGCCAGCACCTTGCTGCGGTCGCGCTTGGTATTGAGGAAGTACTGGATCATAGAGTTGTAAGGAGCGGGTCGCGGCTTGTAGTTGGGCATCGACTCCATCTCCTCGAACATCTCCTCGGCAAACCGCTCATCACTGACACGGCAGAGAGCATTGACGATCGTTCCGTACGTGACACTGGTTGGGCGGACGCCGTTGGCCCGCATCTCGGCGAAATACAGAAGGCAGTCGTCGATCCGGCGGGCCTTACCAAGTTTGCCAATAAGTGCATTATACAGAAACGACGTCGGCTCAACCCCTTCGGCGACAGCACGATGGAAGATCTTCAGAGCCTCGGTGGCTTCATCAAAGGTCTTGGTGGATTCCTTGAGGGTAGTGATGTAGAGGCCAAATGTATTCGCCGACGGTGCCGAACCCAGCTCCAGGAGCTCGCTGTGGTACTTGGCAGCAAGGCTGCGGTCTCCGAGAGTCAAACAGGAGGCAACCATGGCATCGAGGATGGAAATCCAGCCATACTTGACGGCATGATACTGAGGCAGCAGAGGAACATCACGACGGGCCATGCTTAGGATCTCCTGCACCAGGTCGGCACGGTTGACCTTCGTAGCCGCATTGATGAGCTTGGCGTAGGTGATATAGCGAGGATGGCGACCAATGCGACGCATGTTCCGAAGTCGAGTCAACGCCTCATTGAGATGCGACTCTGCGCGACCGCTAGTACTCTCTAACTCCTCGGCAATAATGGAAGACCCACGGAAGTCGGTAGCATAAGCATACGGATCGAAAGAGTCATCGCTAGACACGAGGGTCATAGACGACACTTCCGAAACAGGAGAGTGACGGCCGGAAAGGAAGGACGATGGGGAGGAGGTCATGCTAAGATGGTCCTGCCATCTCTTCACCATATCAGGTCGGCTGTTGAACAGCTTGGCGACAGCTTGATCGACCAGGCCAGTAGTCTGAGGATCCAATGGGAGTCTCGTGGCCAGAGCGATGTCAAGCATGTGGGCGAAGCGGATGGGATGAGCAACATCAAAGGCCATGGAGTTGTTGTTGAGAAGCATGCCAGCTTGAACCTGGAGGGCGAGCGTTAGGTCCCGAGCAGCAAGCTGAGAGATACCCATGGGTCCAAGGCTGGCAACAGCATGCTCAGAGAGGGGAGAGATGAGACCACCATTCTCAGTCATGGACCAGATGAGGTTCATGGCAGCCTGGGGGGAGAGGACAGCCGCAGTCTGCATGAGGACACGGCCGACAAGGTGAAGGCTTTCATTAATTTGTTCACGGATGGATTTCAGTAAAACGTTGTTGTTGGCAGAGGAGTTGCGAATCCGGGCGAACATATTGCGGGCTTCAAGAAGGGCTTCGTCGACCTGACCACTCTTTACCAAGGCGACCGTGTACATAGCCGTCGGCTGGACCATATCCGAAGTTGCGTGACCCGCGGTGCTTAGCATCAGCCACAGGGGTCGAGCCGCTGACACATTGCCTTGCCGCACATGCAACGCCAGCATCGCAATGGCGGGGCCCTGACGCAAAGTCGTGTCTGAGGGGAGACACTCGTACGCTTCGGAGGCGGTCTTGAGATCACCGGCATCCGCCGCAGTGACGCAAATGCGGGCCATGGCATGATCCAAAGCACCACCGCGCAGCTGCTCCTTGGCCTGCTCGAATGCCTTTGCATGTTCACCTGACTTGAGAGAGTACTGCACGAGGCCATCCTGAACAATTACGGATTCGACAGCTTCCTGGCGAACTTCACGGTTTTCAGCCACTTCATCGAACGAAGCACGGATTCGCTCAAGGAATCGCAAGGCATTTTCTTCCTTCCCAACGGAGAGATAAGCCCTGACCACAGCAGCGTACACCTGACCGTCCAAACGCTGAACAATGCTGAACGTGCCATTATCATCCGAAATTGCGAGATCTTTGTATTCGTTATAGCACTCAACGGCACTTGTCAGATCTCCAGTAGACGCAAAGGCATCGATCATTGATGGAAAGATAGACGCATGTGGCGTCACCTTATGCGACTCCATGTGGGCGTAGATACGGATCATATCCTCAACTTGGCCTTCTTTCGCACATGCTGTGATAAGATAGCGATACATATCGAGAGAGAAGACAAGATCTGCGTGACGAGCAGTTGCAGTGTTGAATAGTTTGACAGCAATAGCGAGAGAGTGATCCTCGGCGAGCAAATCGCGCTCCAACTGACTGGAGTGCAGCATAAACTTGCCAGGCTCTTCCATGCCTCCATAGCGAAGTCGTTCCTGCTCCAATGACTCCTTGACCTTGATTGTCTCATGAGAGCGGGTAACAAAAAGCTCGACCAGTGTGCGATAGGTGTCTTCGTCGGGAATTACCCTACGACGAAGCATGTCTGAGTAGACATCGAGTGCTTTGGGGATGGCATGAGACACGTCGGTGTGAAGGCGGACGGCAGATTCCAACAAGGCATTGTAAGCACCAACGGTCGGAGTGAGGCCATCTCTGAGCAGCGACTCGAAAGCGGTAGGGATCTCAGCGTACAATTTGCCCGAGGCTAATTGAACAATCTGGTCCGAAACAATTCGAGACTGCTCAGCAGTCGCATCGGAGACGGCGGCAACCTCCGGCGGTAGATCAGGAAATGCCTCAGTACCCTCATCCTTTCCTTCCGATGCCTCCTCAGCCTGTGCCTGTTCCTCCTGGATCTGGATTTCCCGTGCTACGGCCTCCTCGACTTGAGCGCTGATTTCGGCATTGGCTGAGGCCTTGGTGACGCGTGGCGAGTCGCGCAGACCGGGGTGAGAGTCCGTAGCCTTCTCCTCCGCCTTCAACTTTGCTGCTTCTTCATCCCCGGTCGGCTTCCAGCCAATCCGTCTCTTGAATTGAAACTGTTTCCAGTCACTGTCATCGCCAGTCTGCTGAGCGTGCTGCCACGCCGCGTAGTATGCCGCTAACCCAAAGTCTCCGGACCCAGAACCACCCTGGCTGGCCTTGGCACCAGCACCCGACGAACTTGATGGCTGGAAGACATTTTGTAATTGACTCGTCCGAGTGAATTTGGCGGGCTGACTGGCAAGTTGATTGAAGGTTGTCGACGACGCGTACGAAGACTGCGACGCCGCAACTACCGACTGAGCATAGCCATGAGTGAAGGCTTTGGTGAAACTCTGACGCGCGAGGTGAGTGAACGGCTTGAACACCATTTATCTTGCGGGAGACCTCTTCAGAGGGAAGAGGCGATGCTGTACAGGGATTAGTCACACTCAGTCAATTATTTTCCCGCCGGGTACCGAATCAAATCATGCATACCTTGCAATCAAAATAGTAGAAATGATGCAGGTTCATTTGACGACTTGAGGCCGCCAAAAGAACGCGCGAATTAAAGGTGAGAGGGACCTCAAATGGCAAGGAGAAGAACTGGACAACTTATGGTGAA